ATTTAAACATTATTTTGGGCTATACTCGTCTCATACGACGAGTATAGCCCAGAACCTATATTTTAACATAAAAAGTAGGGGGTCGTCTTATACGCCAGCAAATACGGTACTATATCCTCAATTATAAATGGGAAGTGATCTACATCACTTCCTGTTCATTCATAGTTGTAGATATAGTAATCATACTCTGTCCTCATGTTATGACTGAACAGGAACACTCAGTATAGAGGATTCCTCATCATTGATAACAGGGACTGCAGAAAAAGATTTTCCCATGAAGCCCCTAAAAGTAAAGTAAAAAATATTTAATAAAAAAAAGAATGAAAACATTTATAAAATGTTAAATTTTTTTTGAAAAAGTTAAAATTAAACTAGGGCTGGTAATGATTACAATTTTCGTGTTCGATTTATCGAAATTTTTTTTTAATCGATTGATTTCGATTAATTATAACGCACATACATATCCAACTACATTGGCCTATACACATACAGCACAGCAATGACCTATATACTCACCGGCCCAAGTGGCTCCGTCGACTAACGAAAGGGGGAGGAGTCCGGTGACGTCACGGACATTGACGTCGCCGGATTCCTCCCCCCTTCCCTTCGTTTGCCTGACGGAGCCACTTGGGGGAGGAGTCCGGTGACGTCGATGTCCGTGACGTCACCGGCGGAGAGGTGAGTGTTTTCATTAGCAATCAAAATTTTAATCGATCGAAAAGTTTAACGATTAATCGAGAAATGAATCTTTAATTTCCACAGCCCTAAATTAAACATTTTCGGCCTGACAATTTTTTTTGGGGGGTTTTGAAATTGTCATTTCTGTGCACCTCTAATGTCTAGTACCTGGAACATTTCCATATCTCCCGGCCTGTTTTAGTATTAGAGCGCACTTTGTTGATGCATAAAGCTGGGCGTCAGGTCCGTGGCTCAGCATGCGGTCTCTCTGAACTGTTCTGCAGCATTGCTATGTGATTCCGATACCGCGTTCTGACCTCCCTGAGATCTTCTGCCCTTTATACATTATAAATGGGAGCAGTTTTGTTGTGAGTCTTGCTGGCCGGATAGAGTGTCGTGTCCTGGGGGTCACTGCAAACAAAACACGGCCTATCTGTCAGTCACATCGCCGCTACTGACTGTCAGTTGGAGACGGGACAATTCACTGCAACGGGTGTTTGAATCCTGGGTGAAAACCAGAGCCTGGTGTGTTCCGTAAGTTTAAAGGGGAACTCCGGAATTTGCAAAAGTTAACCTTGCCGTGGAGACACCCCCCTGAACCTCTAAGGTTAACTGCTTGTTTAGGTCTAGGGCAGTGGTTCTCAACCTTTCTAGGGCTGGGACCCCTTGGTAACATTTGCCAAGTTGTGGTGACCCCCCCCCCATGGTAAAATTTAGGGATGACGCGGCTGCTGCAGCGACATCAGTCAGCGCTGGCGG